AAAGACAGAAGTGTTTATATTTGCGAGTGATAATAGAAGACGTTAGAAAAAAGACTGATCCAGAACATTTCGACGATGAGTGAACATATCAAACCTATCACTTACACAGTACATCAGTACTGATTATTTGCGTAGTTTTGGTTTTCCTATTCATTTTTGCTAACCGGAATCTCTGCGTAATTTCTTCAACAAAAGGCCAAAGCACAATTTTCGGAAATATGTAGAAAATTGTATTTCTTTTCGGTGTCCCACCATTTACTTGAATATACAAATAATTAAGTACTTGAAAAAACTTTTATTCCACTAGTTTATTTTGCAGTAATGCATGCAAGACTCGTGCGGAAATTAATGACCACTCAAGCGGCTTCCGTGCAGCTGACGTACATACGTAGAAAAGGCGAAGGGTACTAACTGGAAGCATGCAATTGGAATATAACATAACTGCGCCCGTCATTTTGGCAGCATCCCAGTGACATGAGGCCTCTACATCGATTGTCCGGCGGTCCTGACATTCTTGACTTCTAAAAGTATTCACTTGGAATTATTCTGAATGTCTTCTGCCGCTCAAGAAGTGTGAATAGGAAGGAGGTTTTGACTGAATCGTACGTAAATTCACGTGCGAGGATTGGCGTTAGTTTTTGGTACCGAAAAGCATATCTAATTTGTAAAATTACAGTAAGGATTTCGACACAGAATGAAACATTATTTCGGTTGGCGAGGGGAACCATTAGCCAAAAATAACTGTGAGGATGTGAAATGAAATGTTGACTGTGGTACTGACCATAACAGTACTGACCACTATGTCTTACTCTGCTGTCAGTGCAAACGAAGAGAACATACCCTGTACAAAAAACTGCCGCTGCGATGATTCAGAAACGGTAAGTTTGTTTTTTATTTCTTTTTGAGAGTGATAAATAAACTATTTTACAAATCAGCTTTGTCGTGATTGTCACAAAAGCGGCGAGTTTGCAGGTAGGCACGATGTTATAGAAAGTAGCAGTATTGTCGTTCAATAGCTGAGAGATTCCATTCCGTTGGTGGAGGCAGTCAATCCCTCTAAGATTCTTTCGTTCCCGCCAATAGTTAACTGATGTTGGC